TGAATATCTTCCTATCCTAAATGAAACGGTATGAAATCGGTATGGTATGGTATGGTTAGTGTACGGTTTCAGTATTTCGGTTTTAGATGCCCACCCCTTAAAAAAACCTAGGCCACAACACAACAAAACCAAAGTCAAAGAAACCCAAGCCACAACACAACAAAGCGAAAGGCAAGGATACCCAGGCCAAAACAGAGCAAAGCCAAGGGCAAAGAAATCCATGACAAACCTACAACAGCTGAAACAAACAAAAGCAAGTTTAATCCTATTGCAATCAAATGAAATTTTCCACCAAATACCAAGTAGTCATTGCATAACTTCCAAATGTTGTCATAAGTTCCAAACATAAGTTCAAAATCATAAATTCCAACAGGTTCCAAAATATAATTTAAGCTCCTAAACATAGGGTCTGCAGCAATAACACCCTAATCCACATAAGTTCCAAAATATTTTCAAAATGACAATAGCCCAATTTGCAGCAATAAGATCCTAATCCATAATTTATAGCTTAAGAAATATATTTTCCACCTTCAAAAACACATCATCTATTTTCTACCTTCAAAAACACATCTTATATTTTCCACCTTAAAAAACGCATCTTCCATTTTCCAAAACACACAAGTCATTGTCCCAAACAATTTTCAATTCTTCAAGGGTAGGGATTTTTCACAAAGTACTTCCTCTATGCATTTTGTTGTTGATTCTTCCTCTCCCTAGTTTGACCCTCTTGAATTGTATTATGTGAACTTGGCCCTGCTTGAATTGGAGGTTGAGAGCTGCACGCTTCTGTTCTTGGCCTTACTTAACTTGCATGTACTTCAATTGGAGGTTGGGATCTACATGCTTCTTTTATTGGCCTTAATTTCTTGGGATGTGATGCCTCTCCATTAACTTTTTGTTGGGAACTGCTACTTTGGGTTCTTGGCCTAAGTGCCATCGTGTTTTGTGTAGCATCTCTCCTTCCCACCTACAAACAATGTCTATGGGTGGGCATCAAAACCGGAATACCGAAACCATCCCGAAACCGTGCCAAACCGTGCCAATTTCGTGCCATCCCGTTTGGTGTTGACGTGTAAACGGGATGATACCGTGTCATCCCGTTACTGTTTGGCATGACATCGGTTTCACATTTGTGATCCCGGTTGGTGTCATACCGTACCGAACAGTAAATTAGTTTTATTAATTCCTAATTTAATTTAAGTTCTAACCCTATCTGAGTCCACAGAGATTTTGTGTTGTCGACTGCCTCTTTTCTTTCTTTCTCTGCGTTTTTTCCTCCTTTCCTTTCCTCTGTCTGATTCTTCTCTTCTCTTCTCCTTTCTCAACCAAATTGAATCTGTTCCCAACTCCTCCAACATCAATCGATCTCACCTCATCTTCTTCTCCTCCTCCTCTCTCTCTCTCTCTCTCTCTCTCTCTCTCTCTCTTTGTTCTTCTCCAAAACCAAAAAACCAGTGGAAAAGGAAAGCCCCAACCCAAAGTCTCTCCGAATTTCTGTGGGATCTTCTTCTTCAAGCCCGTTACCCTCTGCCTCTGCTACCAATTTCAGTCCGATCTCAGATTCTCGGGTATTCATGGAAACTTGTTTTGGTTTGAAATTATTTGTTTTCAAATTTGAGAAATTGTTTTGATTTTGGGAAGACATGAATTGGTTCTGTAAGCATGCGTGGGAAGACATGAATCTATTAATTCCATATGGTATAAATTCTCTTATTATTTAGGATGGATTGGTTTTGATTTTGGGAAGACATGAATTATTGACATGCATATGGGCTAGGCTACTGTCAGTTTATGTATATATATATATCTGATACTTCTGTAAGTTCTGTTCTTAAAGAAGTTGTATGGAAGCTGTATTGAAAATTCATGCAGTTGAGAAGTGATTAGATGTGTGTAATTTGTTGTACTCTAGTATTAGTAGCTGTGTATGTTCGAGATGAATGTCAAATTTTTCTCCAGGCTAAGTTGTAAAAAAAAAGAGAAAGGTTGAGCATATGGTCTTAACAACATTTGATTTTCTCCAGGCTAGTATTAACAGCCATTTGATTTTCAGATTTGATTGAACTTGAAAATTTACAGATTTTTTACGGTATCAACATTGATACCGAATCATACCGATCCCATTTGGGTCCGGTATGATTTGAACGTGTTTTCAAAAACCCCCATCCCATGTCATCCCATACCGATTCCTCTATTCGGGATTGACACCGGGATGACCTCCATCCCGTGTCATCTCATACCGTGCCCACCCCTAATGTATTCTCTATCCTCCCTTCATAAAAGAAGAAGAGTAAAAATCTCATAAAATATTAGGAACAACAATAGATTCATGTCTCTCTCTCTCTTTGTTCTTCTCCAAAACCAAAAAACCAGTGGAAAAGGAAAGCCCCAACCCAAAGTCTCTCCGAATTTCTGTGGGATCTTCTTCTTCAAGCCCGTTACCCTCTGCCTCTGCTACCAATTTCAGTCCGATCTCAGATTCTCGGGTATTCATGGAAACTTGTTTTGGTTTGAAATTATTTGTTTTCAAATTTGAGAAATTGTTTTGATTTTGGGAAGACATGAATTGGTTCTGTAAGCATGCGTGGGAAGACATGAATCTATTAATTCCATATGGTATAAATTCTCTTATTATTTAGGATGGATTGGTTTTGATTTTGGGAAGACATGAATTATTGACATGCATATTGGCTAGGCTACTGTCAGTTTATATATATATATATCTGATACTTCTGTAAGTTCTGTTCTTAAAGAAGTTGTATGGAAGCTGTATTGAAAATTCATGCAGTTGAGAAGTGATTAGATGTGTGTAATTTGTTGTACTCTAGTATTAGGAGCTGTGTATGTTCGAGATGAATGTCAAATTTTTCTCCAGGCTAAGTTGTAAAAAAAAAAGAGAAAGGTTGAGCATATGGTCTTAACAACATTTGATTTTCTCCAGGCTAGTATTAACAGCCATTTGATTTTCAGATTTGATTGAACTTGAAAATTTACAGATTTTTTACGGTATCAACATTGATACCGAATCATACCGATCCCATTTGGGTCCGGTATGATTTGAACGTGTTTTCAAAAACCCCCATCCCATGTCATCCCATACCGATTCCTCTATTCGGGATTGACACCGGGATGACCTCCATCCCGTGTCATCTCATACCGTGCCCACCCCTAACAATGTCATTGTTTGGTTCATAAATAAAATAATTGAAATTTTAACCCAAAAATACAGTTCAAAATTTCCATTATTATAAGCTTTGGCCTAGAAATCCTCTTCCTTGGAGGCTTAGAGTTTGGGTTCTTTGGCTCCTGAGAATAACATATGATTCAGTTAATATTTTAAAATCAAAATCAACTAAATAACTAAGCTTTAAGGGTTAGTTTATACCTTACAAACAAGCCGATTATGTCATTCTTCACCACAATTCCCACATTTTAATGGGATTCCATATCTTGGAAGCTTGTAAGAATAAGTGGATTTTTTAGGTTCATCGGCTGCTTTGTTCATTGACGTCTTTGGTCTGCCAGGTTGTTTGTGGTATTTGGGAGGCATCAATGGAGGTAAATTAGTCTTCATCCATTGATCATTACTAGTCATTGGCATAATCATGGGCTAATAGGTTCTCAAATAAGCATCTTTCTTATACATATCATCAACATAATCCTCAGGGTTCCCATGAAACCTACTAATTGCGACACATGCATCCACACAAGGTAGACCATTAAGATCCCAAGCATTGCATGAACAAGAGTGGGCATTCAAATCAACTGCAAAGCTACTTCCACTGTGGTCAATACCTGGAACTTATTCTGCCCAATAGCCTTAGGAATGCACCATTGTGAATTTTCTTTATTTTTCTCCAAAATTCTTTGTATTTTTCGCCCAACTTGCCCATGCCATTTATCAACTTCAACCCTTCGTGATGCCATCAACAACATCAAATAAAGCCTAATTCTTTCTAACATAGTTAATACTGGCTTGTCCCTTGCATCCAATATGCTCTTACTGAAGGCCTCACAAAGGTTATTCATAAGAATGTCACATTTTGATGTAGTCCTTAAATGGGCCCTGTGGGAACCGAATTAATTCATAACCCTAGGTCAAATAATTCCTTCCATTTTGGGGATTATTTGACCTAATTGGGAATTATTCAATTTAATTGGGGATTACCCAATTAAATAGAATGTTACCTAATTAGGTTGATGATTGATTTGATTCCTACGACAATTCTCAATTAAAGGAGGAGTTACCTAATTAAATTAGGTATTGATTTGATTGATTACCACAATTAGGGATTTGATTTATATCCCTAATAAATCAAATCCCTAATTAGTCAAATCTCGCCAAATTGGGGAGGAATAATTCCCTTCCATCTACGGAATTATTCCTCTGAAACCCTAGCTCCCGAGACCTCTATAAAAGGATGGCCACACACAAGGGTTGAGGTACGTCTAAAATTACTACCAAATCTCTGCAAAAATTATTTCTCACAAACCCTAGCCACCACTCTCTCTCTCCCTTTTACACAAGGCTCCGGCCACCACTCACGGCTCCGGCCACCCGGTTTCCACCACACATACATATTCCCGTACCTTATTTTAGCTATCGTTTCTTTACAGATCGATTGAACTGACTTAGGCATTGGAGGGCCTTTGGCCAACACCCCCCGGGTGTGGTCCTCT